AAAATACTCATTCGAGAGAATTACTCATTCAACTGAACGACTCATTGAAAGGATTTATTCATACAAATGAACGACTCACTCAATTGAATGACTCGTTCAAATGAAATACCCATTCGAGAGAATTACTCATTCAAATGAACGACTCGTTCAAATGAAATGCTCATTCGAGGGAACTACTCGTACAACTGATTGACTAATTGAAACAATCTGTTCAAATGAACCTTAAAAGGAATTACTCGTTCAAGTAAAATACTCATTCGAGAGAATTACTCATTCAACTGAACGACTCATTGAAAGGATTTATTCATACAAATGAACGACTCACTAAATTGAATGACTCGTTCCAATGAAATACCCATTTGAGAGAATTACTCATTCAAATGAACGACTCGTTCAAATGAAATGCTCTTTCGACGAAACTACTCATACAACTGATTGACTAATTGAAACAATTTGTTCAAATGAAACTTAAAAGGAATTACTCGTTCAAACAAAATACTCATTCGAGAGAATTACTCATTCAACTGAATGACTCATTGAAAGGATTTATTCATACAAATGAACGACTCACTAAATTGAATGACTCGTTCAAATGAAATACCCATTTGAGAGAATTACTCATTCAAATGAACGACTCGTTCAAATGAAATGCTCATTCGAGGGAACTATTCGTACAACTGATTGACTAATTGAATCAATCTGTTCAAATGAACCTTAAAAGGAATTACCCGTTCAAACAAAATACTCATTCGAGAGAATTACTCATTCAACTGAACGACTCATTGAAAGGATTTATTCATACAAATGAACGACTCACTCAATTGAATGACTCGTTCAAATGAAATACCCATTTGAGAGAATTACTCATTCAAATGAACGACTCGTTCGATCATCGCACATACCTAATTCACCTCCACAGAAACGTACACCCTGTATAAGTGCAGGTATGCATTAAAATATAAGGAATTTTACCTAAATTGAACTGAATGCTTCTTTGCAAATCGCAATTGCATAGTCTCTAGTGGAAGAAGTAAAACTGTTGCTTCCCCAGCTTTTTCAAAATGTAAACGTAACTAATAGATACTCCCGAAGGAGCGAAAAAGTTGATTCGCGTACCTCGAGACGAAACATCTATCGTGCCACGCAAAGTCGATTTTATCAACCTTTTCGCTCCTGACCTTTCGTAAGCTTCTGTCCTCGTGCTACTGCGAATAAATCTCTGTCTGTTATGTGTTCGTGATATCAGGAGGGGGAGCATGAGGAGTCTCTCAAGGCCCTACGAGCTGCCCCGCAAGACGTGGTAAGTGATCGGTAACCCGACGATTGTCACGTAAATTTCCGAGGTTTACTTTAACGTGCCGTGTCGTTCCTGTTTAGTTGGAAGACGTCAAACCGATGGAAGGGATAGCGGAGGAGAGCACCGATGATGAGAGCGACGTGAGCAGCGGCACCAGCGATGAGGAGGGGGAGGCGCCCGAGTTTGTCCCGTCTGCGTGGGATAAGTTTGCCACCCCGATGAAGTCAGCCCTCAGGTCGCCGGAGAAAACCCTCGGAAAGACGGAGAAGGTGAGAAGGATTTATAGAATCTAATCTGTTCTAATCAACTTAGGCCCCAAAATTGTTACGCCGAGTGTAATTAATGACCCTTCGACCTCTAACTAAATAATAACGTTTCCATAATTTTTCAGAATAAATCGAAAGGCGTTTGGTTTAAGAAACAAAAGTACCACTGTGTCTATGAATATCCAAGGGAACCCGAGAGCCCCGTTTTACAGAGTCACGATTTATGGAAACCTCAATTGGATTACAGTTCGTTTACAGGTAAAATATGTTCAAATGTTATATTTTTTTTATTTATTTTAAATACGAAGAAATAATAATAAGCAGCAAATAATTTTTAAAATTACAAACAGTTCATCGTAGTGTTGAGATAAAAAAAAATGTGTCGGCGAAAAATGGTGTAGGGAAATCGCTGGAATTTATTTTTTGAGTTCCTCAGTTTGCCGCAATAAGCATTACAAAAACGTATTTTTGTTCTTTGTTTTCATTTTAATCCCGAGTAAATTTTGTCATTTAATTTAATAATTTCTATTGAAATTTTAGTATAACGGACCCTTGAAATATTATCGGTTCATTCTCTGATAGAGTAGTTCAAACGTCTCAGTATTGGTGATCTGGATCAGCGAGTTGTAAAACTTGTTCTACGGAAGAAATATCTTTCTTAACCTGAGTAGGGTGTTAAAATCTTGGTAGTCGTTAAAATTTCTACTATAAATTTATATTGCAGAGAATAAAATATATGTGACCGTTAAAGTACACAGAATACACAAAATCGTTGCCCTACGCGAAGTCAATAAGGATATTTCCAACACCGCACGTAGAAATTTTGATATTGGCCGATTCAGTATTACCAAACAAGTGGGACGTTTGAACTACTCTATCAAATTTTTATTTTTTTTAACAGCTCGCCAAGTTACTTTACCATTAACGGTCACTAAAAATTTTGATAATCAAGATACAAATTCATTAAAGCTTCATATTTTATCACGCCTTTAAAATTTAACGGCAAGATATAGATCGGATTACAAAATTTTGTCGTGACGTCGTGTTAAAATTACTTTGATCGATCTTTGGTTCGTTAATCAGTATTTTTGGTATAAAACTGTTTTTTAGGTGTTACATTATTTTACGTAGGCAAATATTACATCAGACTAAGTCTGTGAAATATTTTTTCATACAAAAAACATTGTTTTTGGGAGCGTGTAACGAAGTCGAAGTATATTTTATTACTTTTCAGTTAAATTTCTTGCGGAGTTTAATTTAACAGCACACGAATTTTTTCCTGCTTAAGATTTCTGCAAACATAACCTGACCCGTATTTCACTTTTTAACATCAAGATTTTCATTCATTTCATAATCATCGATCGCACTTTCACATGATTTGTACTACCTTGTACTGAATACTCAATGAATCGATTTCAGACTGGGAATTTGACGCAGACACATATTTCCCCACATCGGTGGACGATAACGATATTTTCCCAAGTGGGTATAGCTACCAACCCAAAAGCGTTTCCAGTAGAAATCTGTACCAACTGACCAATATATCTGATTTTGTCCCAAGTAAGACGCCGCGAAACAATTTAATTTTTCATTTTAACACTTTATTTTGTAGGTATCGCCGGCCTGGAAGACGAGTTTTTCGTTAGTAGTTCCGCGAGGCCCTTCGACGCCGTCAGTAATCTGAGCTCGCAGTTCTTCCCGGGCGGCTCCGCCTGGAACGGGGAGAATGCGACCCCGGACAGCGGCATGGAAGACGGCACGCCGGGCAGCTCGACGGAGACGAACGAACCCGACGTAAAGACGCATTTGGTCGTGAGTCTGAAGAACTTGGCGTCGGAGGCTGTTAAAAAAAGTAAGCAGACGAGCATCAAGAGCAACGACTCCCTAGGCGGCCTCAGGCACACCAGGAACAAGTTAAAATTAGATCTGCCGCCAAGTCCGAGCGCTTTCACCTCTACGAAGATGTTCACCGTGGAGCCCATGCCGGAGCCGATGATCAGGGAGAAGCCGACGTTTACGACGTTTGGGAAGAGCAGGTTTTCGGTCCAACATGTGGATACGCCGCCGGACGAATCGAAGAATAAAAACGTCTCGTTCGAGGCCTTGCCGTACAAGCCGTTGGCAGAAATGGAGCCCTGCGAGGATGTCGATCACCAAAGCAAGTTCAGCCGGGAAAAGCACATTTTACAGGATAATTTCGATTGCGGCAAAGGGCACAGCGAGTTCATAAGGGGAGAAGCTAGTTTGCTGGACAGCGCAGACGAAGATAGCGGCATCGAGTCCAGCACGCTCGAGAGAAAAACGAGTAACTATGGCCTGCTGCAGTGAAGCAGTAACTTCTTTGTTGGAATTGATTTTTGTTGTTACGGGAACGTAAAAGGGCCGGATATTTATCTTTTTTGTCCGTTTAAAATTTTGAATTCTGTTTTTATCACTTTTATTCCCAATTTAAGAAATTTTGGGGTTAAATGAGAAATTTTAATTCGAACTTGAAACTGTGTTTAAACTCGAAATTTCGCAATTTAACTAGAAATTTCTCGCGTCTACTTTGAATTTCGTTTATCAACTTGAAATTTCAAGTTTTTGAATTAGCAAATTTGAATTTAAATACAAAATTTTGGAATCCAACTGGAAATTTCGACTTAAAACAAGAAATTTGGAATTAGAACTTACAACTTTGTGTTGAAACTCGAAATTTTAAGTTTTTGTGGCTTGAAATACAAAATTTCGAGTTTCAACTTAAATTTTCGAGTTCTGAACTTGAAATTTTTCACTTTGAATTTGTAATATTTCAAATTGTAATGCTTTCGAGTTTGAATTTGAAAGTTTGCATTTAAACTCAAAATTTTTAATTTAAATCGCGAAATTACAAGTTTCTACTTGAAATTTCAAGACTACAAATTTTTAATTTTAGCACAGTTTTTCAAGTGAAATAAAAATTTCAAAATTCCGACATTTTCGAGTTTAAATTTGAAATTTTAAGTAGGACTTTCAAATTTTATATTTCAAATTATGAATTTCAAATTAAAACTTGAAAATTTCAAGTTAAATTGTTGAAATTCAAAATTTCATGATTCAAAGTTAAAACTTGTCGTTTTGAAATAGAAATTTTAACGAAAAACTCAAAATTTTGTTTTAAATTAAAAATTTCAAATTCTTATAATTTCAAGTTTAAACAAAAAATTTAGAGTTTGTACTTGAAACTGTGTTGGAACTCAATATTTAGTGATCGAGTTTAAAATTTTGGGTTGGAATTTGAAACGTGAAATTTTGAATTCCAGCTTAAAATTTCATGCTCCGAACTTGAAATTTGCACTCTCAAATGCAAATTTTCAAAAACCTGACAATTTAAGTACGTATTCCAAACTTCACGTTTCGAATTATAAATTGCAAGTTTAAATTCAAAATTTTGTAATTAAAACGCCAAGTTTCATTTTTAAAACGTTTCTACGCTTTTATACTTTGTAACACGCGAAAAGCGTTATTTTTATATCGACCTTTTTATTACTCACGATTAACCGGGATTAACGAAACTATTTTAGAATTCCTAATAGAAATTAATTTTTATTAATCTTTTGTGATACTTGAATTTTTAAACTGGCCCCGCGGATCTTATAGATGTTTTAACCGTTCATTTCGGGTTCGGGCTCGTACGGTTTATATATCCGTAAATGTTACTTAAATGTTATCGTTGTAGGAACTCGTAGGGTAGTATCTTTAAAAACTAATGTACAAACTGAAACTTAACGTCCAATCGTTGTTGTCCAAGAGTGGTGTGTAGTTTTTGTATAAGCCCCAGTATTTCCTCGTTAAGTAAACTCGTACAGGTGGGTAATTGGATATTTTTTAAATTAATTTTTGTAGATAATGTAGATACTACATATTATGTCCGTATCGGACTCGTGATTGCTTGATAATGTTTCTTGTATTGGTAGACTACATTGTAATTATGATTAGTGTAGTTTTTAGTTATTAATAAATATCATTGAGATACTTTTCCTCGTTTTATCCCATCGGAAACGATATTCCTTTACGAAAACATTTTTATTCCGTTGAATATTGCGAATTTCCATTCGTACGTCAAGATCGTCGAACACAGGTTGGCAGGTTGTTAAAAATCCGAGTATTTCCGTCAGAAACGATATTTCGTTATAAATACAATTTTATTCTGTCGAATATTGTGAATTTAGTATGTCGAGATCCTTAAACACAGAATAATCTTGGTAGGTTAAAAATCTGAGCGAGTAGTTCAAATGTCCCAGTTTCAATTGTAACTTGTCGGCAAAGTTCGATCGGCGATCATTAAAATTTCTTTACTCCAAGGGTGTATCTTGCTTATTTAAAAAAGAAACCCAATGTTTACTGACTTAAATTTTGAGGTTCTGTATCAAAATTAATGAAAGAATACAAAATACTTTGAACGAGCGAGACCNCCCCAGTATTTCCTCGTTAAGTAAACTCGTACAGGTGGGTAATTGGATATTTTTTAAATTAATTTTTGTAGATAATGTAGACACTACATATTATGTCCGTATCGGACTCGTGATTGCTTGATAATGTTTCTTGTATTGGTAGACTACATTGTAATTATGATTAGTGTAGTTTTTAGTTATTAATAAATATCATTGAGATACTTTTCCTCGTTTTATCCCATCGGAAACGATATTCCTTTACGAAAACATTTTTATTCCGTTGAATATTGCGAATTTCCATTCGTACGTCAAGATCGTCGAACACAGGTTGGCAGGTTGTTAAAAATCCGAGTATTTCCGTCAGAAACGATATTTCGTTATAAATACAATTTTATTCTGTCGAATATTGTGAATTTAGTATGTCGAGATCCTTAAACACAGAATAATCTTGGTAGGTTAAAAATCTGAGCGAGTAGTTCAAACGTCCCAGTTTCAATTGTAACTTGTCGGCAAAGTTCGATCGGCGATCATTAAAATTTCTTTACTCCGAGGGTGTATCTTGCTTATTTAAAAAAGAAACCCAATGTTTACTGACTTAAATTTTGAGGTTCTGTATCAAAATTAATGAAAGAATACAAAATACTTTGAACGAGCGAGACCGAGGATGGAAAAAAGTGAAGAGGTGCGCGAGATTGGTGGTGGACCTCATAATGTTGACTCCACGTGAACAGGCCTCTTGCAGAAAAGAATATTTTAATAGTTTTTGTGTCTACACTGAATACTAAAAACAAATCTTGGCAGGTAAAAAAATCTGAGCGAGTAGTTCAAACGTCCCAGTTTCAGTTGTAACTTGTCGGCAAAGTTTGATCGGAGAGTATTAAATTTTCTTTACTCGGAGGGTGTATCTTGCTTATTTAAAAGAAAAAACCCAATGTTTATTCTGACTTAAATTTTGAAGTTCTGTATCAAAATTAATGAAAGAATACAAAATACTTTGAACGAGCGAGACCGAGGATGGAAAAAAGTGGAGAGGTGTGCGAGATTGGTGGTGGACCTCATAATGTTGACCCACATGAACAGGCCTCTTGCAGAAAAACATATTTAAATAGTTTTTGTGACTACACTGAATACTACAAACAAATCTTGGCAGGTAAAAAATCTGAGCGAGTAGTTCAAATGTCCCAGTTTCAATTTTAACTTGTCGGCAAAGTTCGATTGGAGAGTATTAAAATTTCTTTACTCCGAGGGTGTATCTTGCTTATTTAAAAGAAAAAACCCAATGTTTATTCCGAGCCCGGATGTCCTAGTACATTTAGTGTAAATGACGGTTAACTTTGATCGGCTATAAGTACGTAACTAATTGATCAATCAATCTGTTTTTTTTAAAGAAGCGTCTTTCCAAGAACTTAAAACCTGCTTTAAGAAATTTGTTTTGATTGAATATTCACAAAGTTCTTCTAATTGTTTATAAGTACAAAAATTCGACCAATGTTTAAACAAGCGCCAGAGCTCTCCTAATTGACGGATTCGAATTTTTCAAAAAAATTAAAAGCTTGAGAGTCCTTCTATATGTGATTAAATTTTCAAGTATCTAAGGGCCTTGGTTTTTGCTGTGCAAAATTTTGAAAATTTGCAATTTTTTTTTCAAAATCTGGATTGCAAAATTATTATGCAAAATCTATCGAACCGATTTTGCTGAAATTTGGTGTGATGATTCTACATAACATGAAGTTTTCTTGAGCCAAGTATAAAGGTCCTATACCTAATTTAAATACCCCAAAAAAAATCCCTAAAAAGTAATGTTTTTTAACCCCGTTTTTGCGATTTTTTCGATTTTTACAATAATAATCATGATTCATTCGATTTGTAATTAGTCATGTTTTGTAAAAAATTTAATTACAAACATTTTTTCCTCTTCCATTTTCGCCTAAAATCAACTCTTGAAAAGGTACGTAATTAAATAGGAAGAAAAATATGACATTTTTCGAATTGTTTTAACATATTGTGCCGTCAAAAGTTATGCGCACAGAAAAATTTTCATTTCTAGTGATATTTAAAAGCCAAACATCTCCGTGGATATACGATTCACCCAAACCAAAACTGAGACCGCCTAGTCTATTAACCATTCTATTAAAATATCATGACACAATCCAAAATTACCTCTAAAAAATTTAAAATAAACAACTAAAAATGTATCCTTTTTTCTTTAAACAAAAAGAAAATAAGTATTTCTGAACTTTCCCAGGGTTGCCACTGACCTGGAATACCTAGAAAACCTGGAATTGTCAAGGAATTTTGTAGTTATGGTAAAAGTCAGGGATTTTGTCTAAGGTCAGGGAAATTCAATAAAGCCAGGAAAAATCAATGAAATAATATTGAATATAGCATCAAAACTTGCTGAAAATTTGCTTACATACCGGACGTTTTATTCTGAACATATTTTTCTGCTTGGGTTTATTCGAATACGCCCTACGTGGCGTTCTGAACGTGGTAACTATCGTGTATGTTCCGTGGTGGTAGCCACGTGAACACGCTATTTCATTTACTTCTGTTATTCGTTCTGTTGTGCCCCTTCTAAACGTGTTCTCTGAACCTGGAAAATTATTTTCCATGTTTTTAAGTGATTTTCTTCTATTTTCTTCTTCTATTTAATAGAAGAGAAACAGATCACGCCGTCTACGTGTCTCGCGAATGCAGCTAAGAGCTCGCCCTCTGGCGGTGACAAGTGATACTACCGAAACAAGGTAAACATTTCTTCTGTGTGTGACAATTCGTTTTGTATTTTATTTAAAACCGTGTTTAGTGTTCGTTTTTTGAACACTTATTCTAAGAAAATACTGTGAGGAAAATTTCAGCAATTATGGATAGAAAGAACAAACTGTCAAACTATTATTGTTCAGTTCAAGGTTGTTCTTCATGGTCCAAGAAAAATCCAGAATTAAGTTTTCATCAAACCATTGAAGAAATTTACAAAATAGTANTGTTATTCAAATGAATGTGTAAACACAAACGGCAATGTCAAAATTACCTTGTTTCGGAGCTTACTGCTTTCGCCGCTTGGTGCGCTTGCATCTTAAATATTATTGCGGATATGAAAATTAGTCGTTAGGTTCAGTGAACACGTTTAGATTAGAAGGGGCACAACAGAACAAAAAACAGAAGTAAATGAAATAGCGTGTTCACGTGGCTACCACCAAGGAACATATACGATAGTTACCACGTTTAGAACGCCACGTAGGGCGTATTCGAATAAACCCAAGCAGAAAAATATGTTCATTTTTAACTAATTTTTACTTTGTGGAGTAGACTAGAGATGGGCAAAACAACTCTTTTCACGGAGCTGCTTCGTTGCATCTGGTTCTTTTAAAAGAGTCGACTCACTGAGTTGGCTCAAAAGAGACACATGCGTTATAAGATTTACACGTACCAAGTATTATTTTAAATATATACGAATGTTTGAAAAAAGAAAATAGTGAACAATGTGATAAAGAAATTAGGAAACGGATTAGCAAAATTAACTAAGATATCAAAAACGACAATTTATCGCGTAATTAAGGAAGGAGATATTATTAATCACGGTACAAAGAAACGGGAAAATACAAAATTAAAGAATATTGACGATTTTACCAGAGATGTAATATGGTGCACAATTTATAATAATACGTATAAAGAAATTAAAGTTCCTACTTTAAACATGATTCGAAATAAATTAAGCGATTATCCTGATTATAATTATAAATCTTTAGATACTTTACGACATGTTTTATTACAATGCGGTTTTAAACATAAAAAACTTGACAATCGTATGATAATTATATGGTAATATAGCTCAGAATATAGTATATCTAGACGAGACAGGGCTAAATTTTTCTGGACGTCTATGGATTCTATATTACCTAAGTTACTTAAATTTTACAACTTACACAATTTTCACGCTTATAAACAATTGCAATAATTTAATGTTTTTTTCAATTTTTTATTTATTTTAAAATATGCCTATAAGTAAA